AGAAAGCAGAAAAAGAGGAACAGAGAAACAAAAACAGAACGGACTGGGCGCCTGGGTGGCTCAGTCGGTTGAGCCTCAAACTTTGGCTCAGGTCATGATCTCACAGCTCGTGAGTTCGAGTCCCGTGTTGGGCTCTGTGCTGACAGCTCAGGGCCTGGAGCCTGCTTCGGATTCTGTGTCTCCCTCTCTCTCTGCCCCTAACCCACTTGCATTCTGTCTCTGCCTCTCTCAAAAATAAATAGACATTAAAAAAAAATTAAAAAACAGAAAGGACAAAAAAATCAAATAATAAAATGGTAGACACAACTTAGTAATTACATCAAATGTTTATAGACTAAAAACTCCAACTAAGAGGCAGAGATTAGCATAATAATTTTAAAAGTCAATATCCAACAACATGCAATATAAAAGATACACACTTTAAATCCATAGCAGTGTCAAGCACATGTTTTCCTGTAAAATATTTTAGGTTTGGTAGACCACATACAATCTGTTGCTTTTTTTTTTTTTACATTTATTTATTTTTGAGAGACAGAGAGAGACACAGCACTAGTCAGGGAGGGATAGAGAGAGAGGGATACACAGAATCCGAAGCAGGCTCCAGGCTCTGAGCCATCAGCACAGAGCCTGACACAGGGCTCAAACTCACGAACGGTGAGATCATGACCTGAGCAGAAGTCAGAGGCTTAACTGACTGAGCCACCCAGGTGCCCCCAATCTGCTGCATTTTTTTAAAACAACCTTTTTTTTTTTTCAGTTTTTTTAAACCACCTTTTAAAATTGTAAAACACATTCCTAGCTCAAGAAGCCTTACAAAAATAGGTCATGGGCTGGATTTGGCCAGTGGACTATAGTCTGCCTCCCCTTACACAAAGAGATAGACAGGAATGGCAAATAAACACATGAAAAGAGGCACATAAAAAGATGTTCAACATCATTAGTCATTGGGAAAATGCAAATTAAAACCACAAATGCAAATTAAAACCACAATGCAACTACACATCTATGAGAACAGCAAAATTCTTGTATTTTAGGTTAGTGACTGACAACACCAAATGTTGGACCAAGGATGTGAAGTAATTGGAACCCTCACACCTTGTTGGTGGGGATGTAAAATGGTACACCTGCTTCAAAAAAACGTTAGTTCCTTCTAAAACTAACATATTTCTATCCTCTCTGAACTAGCATTTCATGCCTAGGTATTTACTCAAGAGAAATGAAAACATATGTCCACAAAAATAATCTTACTATTCTACTCATAATAGCCCAAAACTGGAAACAGCACAAGTCTCCAACTATATTTATACAATGGAACATTATGCAGCATAAAACAGGAATGTGCTGATACAGGAGCATAGATGAAACTCAAAAACATTGTGCTGACATAAAGAACCCTTACACAAAAGTATTAACTACGCAACTCCATTAAAATTAAAATTAAGTTCCAGGACAAGCTAAACCCCAAATATCAGCACAATGTTTGCTTTGGAGGGTATGGGAACGGGGGTGAATAGGAAAGGGGCATCAGAATTTTCAGGATTGAGATAATGTTTCACATTTTGATACAGAACATCTGGTTTTGGGTTATACAGGTGCATACACTTGGCATGCATGCCAAAACTCATCAGATGGTACACGTAAGATTTATACATTTCACTGTATGTAAATTTTTCCTACGAACAAAAAGAACCATGAACAAATGTTGAATTCTAGTTAACAAAAGGCAAACTGAAGTAAGTGAAGTATACTTCTGGCTGCAGTTTACTCTGAAATGCATTAAAAAAGTAAGCTGATGGAAGAACAGCATGATTAATAGATGGAAATATGTGGTAAAGCATATATAGCCAAATGTGAACTGTAGAATCTAAAGTATATGAATTCTATGCAATACTAAGGTATATGAATACTATGCAATTATTTAAAATTTTATATTAAAAAAATTTCAGAGGCACCTGGGTGGCTCAGTCGGTTAAGTGGCCACCTCTTGACTTCAACTCACGTCACACGATCTCACAGTTCGTGGGATCGAGCCCCACATGGGGCTCTGTGCTGAGCAGAGCCTGCTTAGGATTCTCTTTCTCCCTCTCCCTCTGCCCCTCTCTGGCTCAATCTCTCTCTCTCTCTCTCAAGATAAACATTTTTTAAATTTCATAATAAAATGTTTTAAAAATTCACAAACTGCACTTCTTTGCCAGTTATTTAAACTGAAGTTAATGTTCTTTCATCATAAAAAGCACCTATGGGGGCGCCTGGGTGGCTCAGTTGGTTAAGCATCTGACTTTGGCTCAGGTCATGATTTCACAGTTCGTGAATTCAAGCCCCACGTCGGGCTCTCTGCTGACAGCTCAGAACCTGGAGTCTGCTTCAGACTCTGTGTCTCCCTCTCTCTGCCCCTCACCCCACTCACGCTCGCGCTCTCTCTCTCAAAAATAAACATTAAAAATAAAATGAAAAATAAAATAAAAAGTACCTATGATTCAAGGGTGCCTGGTGGTTCAGTTGATTAAAGGTCTGACTCGATTTCTTTTGGCTCAGATCATGATCTCACAGTTCATGGGTTCAAGCCTCACATTGGGCGCTGCGCTGACAGTGCAGAGCCTGCTTGGGATTCTCTGTCTCCCTCTCTCTCTGCCCCTCCCCTTGCTCATTCTTTCTCTCAAAATAAATAAACTTAAAAAAAAATTTTTGAAGGCACCAAGCACCTATGATTCAACGTAAAATATACCAAAAAATCCAAGAGAAATGGCCAAGGCATGGAAATTCACATAAGCAGACATGCACAGTAAACAAAAGATGCTCAACCTCATTTATCTAAGAAATGCAAAGTAAAACATCAATGAGAGAAAAGGGACTGGCAATCATTTTAGTAACAATTAAAAAACTAACACCCACGTGATACAATGTAAGGAAGGAAGACTAAGATTCTCACAGTGGGAAGGTAAGTGAATAATTTTGTGGAGGTCAGTTTTGCAACTTTTACCCCTTTTTCTACTAGGAACTTATGTTCAGAACTGCCCCCCCCACAAGTGTACAAAGATAAATGTCATGGATGTGGATTTCAGCTTTGTTTCTAAGCTCAAAAGTCAAGTTAGCAACCTTAAAATCTCTGCCTAAATCCAGTTGTTAGGTGAAAAAAGCAAGATGTGAGGTGATGATTACAGTAAGCAACGTGCGTTTCCTATGTATTTCAGATACGTAAAAAGTATGTGATGCCTTGACTGCATGACTGTGGCCCAGAACCCCCTGCCTCCCAGTGCTATTCCTGCTCAAGGCCTTTCCCTGAGACAAGGGCTGTGTTTGATTTTCTGTTCTGGTTTCATTTTTGTTTTTTACTGTGCCGACAGCTTTGATGGTTGTACGCCTCCCCTGGCCCCTCCCAGCCCCGGAATGTTTAATCAGACATCTTTCCCAAAGAGAGGCCAGTCACCCCTGGTCATCTGGGAAGTTCTGTTTTAGCACCATGAGTCATGGATCCTCCTCTGACCAGCCTGACATCCCGAGTAACGAGGAAAAGTATGTCAATATGTAAATTAACGGGCAAAGCTGTACCTCTGTGAGTTTATTTATGTAACAAGAGGCTGGCCTGCAAGGGGTTTGCCCTGACCAAGGATGCAAATGCTCCCTGGAAGTGTGCCTGCAGCCCCTCACACCCCCACTTTGTGGCTGGTGTTAAAGGGCAGAAAGGCCTGGGGACAGCATCATCAAGCCTGTGCACAACAAGGCATCTCTGCAACCAAACTCATCAAATTCAGTGGATCCCCCAAAGAAGAGAGGCTCCCCTCAGTGTCCCCCACCTCACATTCTCACAAAAGCAGATTCTTCTTTCAGCTCCACCCTCTTCACCCGGTGGTAGGGTCCCCTCCCTAAGGGCAAACAAACAAACAAACAAAATCCAAAAGGCAACCTTGCTATTCATGTACTTGACAACATTGCTCCCGACCCTGTAACATGAGACCACTTAATCAGACTACATGTTTGTGTGTTACCTCATATGGGAGACAAAGAAGTAAAAAATATATGAAAAACTATGCCATGTGGCACTCGGGGCTCAGTCCTTTGGGTACGAACCCAACTGAGAGGTGGTGGCATGAATAAATTTGCTTCCTGGAAAGAAAAGCCTCAGTGTCAGGACTCTCTGCTACAACCCCTCCAGCCAATAGTTGAGCACTTTAGCTCAGGGGTCCTCCCGGCTCCCCCCTCTCCCACAAGCACGTACCTGTTCAGCTGTTACGTGGTCGTATCCTCCTCCAGAAGCCTCAACAGCTTCAGAAGATTGGCAAGGACACTTGGCCAAATATCCTCCTGCTTAGCTCCAAAGTCTCCTGGTAGGTACTACTGTACCCTTAACGGGTGGACGAATCCTCTGGGCTCACCTAGAGTACAGTATATACAGGGCAATCCTGGCCTGTTTTCACTTCATGCACACAGGTAAAGGCAGGGGCTGTCCTCAGCGCTTACAGCCCTGTGAGCAGTTTGCAGTCTCGAGACCCGGAGGCAACACCACAACACAGGAAGCTCTGCTGGAGGCCGGGAGAGGCAGCCAGGCCAAACTATTGCCAGAGATCCTGCTGGTCCTCCCTGGGTCCCCTCCTCAGCTAGGCTGTGGCTCAGTAACTGTTTCAACAGATAAGGCCAGTAAGGCAATAATCTGTTTCAATGGTCCCACTAGCATACCGATCCTGAACTTGAATCTGGCTTCTCATAGGGAATGGAGTCCCAGTAGAGCCTGGATGTTTGAAAGCAGCACACCTGTGTGAGCTACTTCGGTCTTCACTCCCATGCTTGCACCCCTGAAACCACCCTGTCCTCACCAACCACCAGCGTCTGGGGGAATCGCCCCCCCTTGCAGGGACAGGCTGAGGAAAACAGATACCTCCAGAGGTTGTGTGATTTTCTTTCCCAACGTGCAAGCCAGAGGAATGGGGAAAGGGGATCAGAACCACTGGAATGCCTGCCAGTGTTCCCAGGCTTTTTGCAGGAAAATACTTTCATGGCAAAACTCCTTTTTAAAGAGATGCTTTATTGCTGCAATAAGACACCCCGTATATAACAGAAACAACCCCCCAGAGAATTATTCAAGTGGTAATACTGAGAAACAGTGAACATACACAAAAGGATACAAAACCAGACATTTAGAGAACTAGAAAGTTACCAAGTTAAGAAAGTCTTCAAATGTGAAGTGTCTTTTAGAAACTACACCACACATGCCAGTGTAAATTTGGTTTTTATTAACGATCAGCTTTCTATAAATGTTGCATCTAAATAGGTAAATAGCTGCACAACTTAATTACTTCCAAAACAAAGATAAATCCTTTTCTTCCCTTATGTTTCGGTCTTTCCTTGGGCTGGAGAGGGAAGCTGCATGTTTCAAATCAGATCTAAAAGGGAAAGTATTCAAAAAGTGTCTTTGCATCAGGCCAAGTGCACAGCATCGTGGATCTCGGCCCTGCTGTTTGCAGGCCTCCGCCAGCCGTGTGGCTGACCCACCAGGAGGCGGAAGCAGCCCTAACTGTGCAGGCACTACCTGATGCGCTTGCGCTGGCCCACTGCCTGGGGCCTGCATGTCTGGAGCCAGGGAGGGCACGCCAGCAAGGTTGAAAACTAGACCCATAAGATTGAAAACGGTGGAAGGAGGTGAAAAGGGAGGAGACATAGAGGCCTGGAGCAGGATGAGACCTTTTTATAGTTTCCAGGAATTCTTAAAATCAACTCGGGCACAAAAGAAAACAAATTATTGCTGGCGGCCAAAGTCAGAAGCCCTCGAGCCATACTGCACCTTTTGGGGAAGCAAAGGCCAAATCAGAGGGAGCTAGCTGGCCACACCCCTGAGCCACTTCCCTCTCCCCTTTGCCTGGCCCCCAGACCCACAGGCTCATCCCACATTTCTGGTTCAGCCAAGTGTCATCCTCCCACAAAGCCAGGTGCAGAATGGGAGGGGGCGGGGAGACTAGGGAATAAATAACCCCCAAAGAACTAGAGGGCAAGCTGATGTGGATTAAAGGTACACCTGGCAGATCTGCTTCCCCCACTAGATGGCAGCACAGCACCTTTCCAGGGCTTCTGGCTTCCCAGTTCAGTCGGCGGGGAATACGGCCAGCCGGGACTAAGAAAAGGGTGAGAGGAGCCCAACTAGAACCTACAAGAAAAGAGAAAGGCAAGGGGACATCTGTGTGCCATCCCAGCACAGGAAAGAAGGACGTGGGATGGACTGTCCCCAGGCAGAAGGCTTTTAGGAGTTTGGTGGAGGTGATGAGATGGTGTTAGGCCTTCCTGAAAAGAAGTAAGAGTTTCACGTGACAACCTGGTCAGGCATGGGAGCAACACAGCAGTCGTGGTTATAAAGGCACCTTTGCTCTACGGGGTGCCAGCCATGACAGGTGGGCGGCCCAGCAGCTATCCTTACCTAAAGCACACTTTCCCATCCGCAGGAAGTCTCAGTGACTTTCAGCTTCAGCATAAGGGCCTCCATCAGGGGAGAGGGGAAGGATTCTCACTTAAAATTCTATCCCAGTCTTCACGTGACTACTCATTCGCTGTAAGAAGACGGCAGGGACAAGAGGCCTTGCCTGGGCAGTTTCTAAGGGGTAGAGGCAGGGCTGACCAGGACTCAGCTCCCCTGAGTGGACAGCGTGTAGCTGCCTGGAGTCCCCAGGCTGAGAAGGGGTGTGGGTAATTGCACTTGGGGCACAGTGAACACAGGCGCGGACCGGATGCGGCCTGGGAGACAAGAGGGCGAGAGAGAGCGCGATAGAGACCGCGAGAGAGCGAGAGCAGGCTGACCTATTTTCAGGGGTTGCCATGGTTGGATAGTGCCTGCCCAACCAGAGGAAGGCCACGGCAGAGCAGATCCTTAGACAGGGATCCGTGATCCTGATGAGTCAGACTTTGGGTGGGAGGAGGTGGCAGGGCAAAGCCTGCTACCACACGCCCTTCCCAGAGCTTAGACACACTTCGGCCTCGTCCTGGCTTTCAAAACTAACCACAGCACTTCCAGTCTGAAAGGCAAAGGAATCATCTTGTGTTTGCTTCATCCTCAAAACAGGACAGGTGGGGCACCTAAGGTTCAGAGGGCTGAGAGCAGGACACCCCCTCCCCCACCCAAGCAGCCTTCCCCTTATAGGAGGCTCTGCAGATGCAGAGTCACCTGGAGAGGAAGTATTCTGGGCATGATGATGTTACAATGCAGACCCTCTTGGCCTATTTTTCTGGAGATGACTCTTATTTACCTGGTGCAGAGAAACGGGTTTTTAAAAACAGAACTTTAAGCAGAATTTTTAAAGGGACAAAGGCCATTTGATGGTGGAGAGTTTGGTTTTGTCTTATGAAAATGGTACAGGAGATAATCCCTGATGACAGAACGAACTGATTACAGGGCCAGGGGCCCCTAAAGGGTCCTCGCTGTCCAGTCCGGTTAAGGCGATAAATGGGTGGAGGTGTGGCTGGGGGCAGTGACCCAGTGGGGCCATGGCAGTTTGCTACTCGCTCCTGGCCTTTGTCCCAGAGCCAGCCCGTCTGTCTCTCTGCCCTGAGCAGTGATCCACAGAGCCACCCCAGGAGAAGCTGTCCAAGGTGGCCGGCGCCCAGGAGTGCCTGCAGTGTGCGTGCCCCAGACCAGGGCAGTGCGTGCTCACTCCGTCAGTGTGAAGCCAGCATGAACCGGAGAGGTTGTCCATAAAGGAATCATTTTTAAACATTCAGTTTTGTTCTAATTACTCACTTCCTTCCTTTTGTTTAGATCTCACAAAACCTTCTTTTTCAGTGTTGACAAAAAAAAAAATATTTGGGGCAGGCCTGTGACATGAAGACTTGCCATATAATAGGCCTGAAACCACAGGAACTATGCTCAAATTGCCATCTGGTGTTCACTAATTCTCATGAAACATTATGAAAAAGCCTCAGGCCTGTTTATCCAGTTTTATAGCCACAAGTTCCTTTTATGGACACAGAGCAGATGTCAGGTTTCTTAGAATATATAAGGCAAAAAGGGTTTTAGATCTATCATAACGTAAAAGAGATAGGTAATCAGGGTCATGAAGGGAAGGCTTCTAAATGAGACGTTCTTTTAAATGTCAATCCCACTGGACACACATACTACAAAATAAAGATTCTCTTTTTGTAAAGTGCTGTTTGCTCAGTGAATCACTCGCCACCATGCACAGAGCACCACTGCCCGGTCTGCTCAGGAGAAACGTCAGTGGCAGCATCATCTCCCCAGGCTCTTCTTGGTGAGGAGGGAAATCCTCTGGCATGACTAGACATTCCCACACACTCTGCTCCAGTGGGGGGACTGCTGCTGACCGGGAGAGGCAGGGCGCTGAGGCCAGGGTGCCACCCGGCTCCTGCCCTTCTCAGGGTCCGGCATTTTATTCTCTCACTGCTCAAGGCTTCGTGGGCCAGAACCCAGCCAGCAACCCCTCACAGTGTCACGGGGGCCTCCCTTCCCGTGGAAGTGCTGGCAGAAGTGGGACCCCGCCACGCACAGCCAATGTGAGGGCTTTCTGGGAGATTCACTAAGGAGGGTTTAGAAAAAGAGAAGCCATTAAAAAAACAGTCACCTGCCTGGTCTATGCTATTAAAGGACATAAAAAAAGGTACAGAGTTGGCAGTAAACAATTTCCTTCAGCTGTTCATCGATGTCCAGGAAAACTACACCCTCCACAAAATCAGACATGAATGATTTCGGTTCCAGTGTCTTCAGGTTCTGTCCAACAAGAAGAGTTTGTGTCGGAATGACAGGTTCCAGGTCCATCTTTATTTTCAAAGTTGGGCTCTGTTAGTGCAGATTTTTCAAAAATATTCGTTTTGCTGGTCTCTGGACAGTTTTGAACATAGATTACTCTGTTATAAGCCTTGAGTCTCTTCCATAATTGTATGTATACTTTGCACTGAACGTACATAAAAAGAAGTCCGCCGGTAAACCCGATGGCCACAACCACCAATTTAGTCCAAAAGGGCCATTCTAGGATTCCTGGAAGGGGAGAAACCCAGTTAGTCTATCAGCACACCTAATTTAAGATCTGAAGTAACTAAACACAACTGCTGACCTTCCAGTAACCAATGGATTCTTCACTCATCCATCTAGTTTCACCAAAGGCAGGGTGTCCTTGGTGTCCACTCTCTCTCATCCTCGTGCTCTTCTAGGAAACAGTCTGCAGAGATTCTCTCCTTCCCTGATTTGATCTCTTCTGACTGGGTTTTTTTTAAAACTACTCACCACAGCAAGAGAATCATCCAAAAAGGATGCTTGGTACCTCATAATTAATGCTCTCACTCCAGAAACCCAGACATCTGAAGTCTGACTTAAATACCAATCTGGAGTAACACTCCAATCCTATGACCCCAGCGTGTTACCCCATCTCCATACCGAGCTCACCTGTCACTCTGAGCACATACCTGTTGCCTGTCCATGTTTGATCTCCTCAGTGGTGCGGTCGATGAGCACATACAAGGACCAGACCACACAGGTGATGGCGATGACATGAAATGTCACTGAGCACATGATCTTCCTGCGCTCACTGGCCGTCATCTGCAGCTTCTCCCACTGGAAAGACAACACGCAGAGCATGAGGTGTAGGCCCCCAAATGTAAAGGGCTACAATGAAGGTGACAGCATTGTAGATGGGTAAGACTGGCTTTCCCCCGCTCCCCTTTCCCCAATCTAGATGAATTTCCCCAAATACTACAAGTCATTCTCTTTAAACCACTTGGCTTCAACTAGGTACCAGGCACTGGTATTCTGTCGACAGCCAACTTTGTATGCAATGAAAAGAAGCTGGGATCAAGATGAGCTATGAACCACAACCACCAATCAATCCTTTTGTCTGCTTATTCTTGCAGGCAAACAACTAATGGCTAGCTAAAGGACTCTAGGTTTCAGCCTGATGAAAACGGCATGTTGGCCCCAGACCCAGGTGGCACACATGAGACCTCCCTGCCTTGCTGACTTGCATGAGCGAGGGGAAGAGGGTTGATGACGCCACAACACACTAGCAGATGGTCACACTACATCGTGACAGTGATGGCGGAAGGCGCTCACTCTTTGGTCCTTTGCTACTTTGGCAGCAACAGCTTGAAATCGATGCTAAGAGTTCCTGGTATAAGCAGGCTCTGCCAGTCCCATCTCCTCTAGGAGCCCATTAATTTGCTCCAAATAGCCAGATTTTCTTTTTCATTTACTACTTTCCAAATCAGAAGAAAACATATAAGGGTAGAGAAAAAGAACAAAGCATAAACACTCTGCATATCCTTGGCCAGCCCTAATCACAGCCACTTTCCAGATGGTTCTATATAGGATAAGCTGAAAGTACAGCCTCCTAGATTGTCTATATTGGTCAAAGGCTACACATCTCACCTGAGAGGCCAGCACAGAGTAGGTATCCAACAAATTCTATTATTTTTATGGGGCAAAACATTTTTTAAGTAGTTTGCAGCTGTCTTCTCCAACATCCAGATGGCTTTCTGCTGTGGTTTTATATGGTATCTTCATTTGGCTTCCCTCCTAAAATGCTCTCTGCTCCCTGATTTCCGGCTATTTCCCAAGACACACTCAGTCCAAGCCTTTCACATGGTCCTGAAATGCTCACCCTCACCTTTTCGGTGTATGCTTTTCTTCACAGACAATGTGACCTCTCTAAACTCCTTTCGCTGTACTCCAAATCCTACTGCTCCTTCAAGAACAGCTTCAACACCCAAACATTCTGTGAAGCTACCACCGCTCCCCTCCCCCAGCGCTCCAGCCCACAACCAATGCTTCCTCCTTGAACTGTTGGACATGCTCCGCCGCGACTTAATCTTCGTTCCCTTCGCACTGTCAGGTGTTTCGATTTGATCATGTGATTTTCCTTGAACTGACATATTGAGATTCCGAGATAAGAACAAGTCTTTCATTCTTCCAAACAAAACCTTGTATGCTGGCACACAGAAAGACACACTGAAAACCATTACACAGGCGGCAGCTGCCAGATCAGGCTCGCTCAGAGGGGGCAGTGACCTGGGGCCTGAAGAGAGGTGCATTTTATGTAAGGCCTGGGGTTCCTTTCCTTTCCCATCCACCCTCACCCTGCCAACTAGCAAATATTTATCACAATATATACAAATTTACTATTTCATTCTGTACTCTGTGTCAGGGAGAGATACTAGTTGATGTCTGATGTACAGTCCTACTCAGAGGCAAGACGTGAGCAGTTAATATGTACAAAGTTAACTGCTAAGATGTCACAAAACAGTCTGTGGCCAAGGGCCAAATGACTGACACAGATATGCAACCAGTCTTAGTTTGACGGAAAAACACATTAGGACTGAATGGTCAGAAAGAGCTTCTTCCTGAGAGGAGGGAGTGGGAAATCAGAAACGGAAACGATGACCTCTGTAGCACGAGTGTATGCACAGCCCCCACTTCTTACAGAAATGAACACAAGCAAGCTACGGCTTCATCCAGTCCAAGGTGCTAACTCTTCCCAAGGCCCTCGTCTCAGCAAGGCGAGAGCACTTCTGAACGTGTCCTCACACGTACTTTTCTCAAAGGCTTCAGCTTGACCTCCATGATGAACTCGTACTTGCAGAGCTCACAGCAGCGCGTGTCGGAGCTCTTGATCCACTGTTGCAGGCAGGTCTGGTGCACAAAGTGGAGGCTCCCTGTGCAGCGGCAGGGGGTGATCAGAGGGCTCTCGTCATCCCCTTCACAGTGGCAGATCCTGCAGCAAAGGAAGGCCAGTCATTACCAGGAGGGCCACAGGACAGGGGAAGAGGACGCTTCGGGGGAAGGTCGATCCCCCCCCAAAGAAAACTTTCAGCGACAAACATCACAGAAACGACTACAAGCACAAAAACGCACAGACACGGATGAGAACGATTACTACAAGCTAAGAGCTTCTAGCTTACCGTACCAACATGGAAAGTCTGGATGGCATTTGGCATCAGAGAGGAAAAAATGATATAAGAAATGACAAAGCAGTCATTTTGGGGAAGATTTAAAAATGTCACTGAAAGACGAATTTAAGGCAACATGGAAGCATCTTTCAGAACATGTTAAAATAATTAGGGGAAAAAATTTCTGTGTGAAACAAAACCAGCACTCTACCTTCCAAAATTACTGGTGACTTAAAAAGATGATAAATCTGCTTTTTATCTGTAATCACTAATTTCACCTTCACACACAACTACACGTCTCCGTCCTCCCTCAGAGAGTAAACAGAGAAAACGCAGAACCTCTCTTGGACCCAAAACCCCATGATAAGGGGCTGCAATTTTATTTCTTTTTTGAGGAAATGAGAATTTTAAACCATTCATGGCTTCTAAGGGTGCATACAAGAGGATATAGCTGCTAACCTCAAAGAACTTAGACTTGTGAGAAATAGAAGGGTCTCTTCCAACAGCTGGAGAGCAGGTAGGGACACCTGACCTGGGGGCAGCCAGGTCCTGGCCCTGGCCAGACTCTCAGCACTTTGTTTCTGTGAGAGAGGTTTCGGAGACAACTGTTAGAAATGTACCAGCTGGCCTGGAGAAGGGGCGCCTAGGGAAAGGCTAGAATGGGGAAAGTATGAGCCTGGTGACAAAAAGCAAATTCTGAAAGGTTCCGGAGGCCAGACAAGGATGCTTGCACACAGGAAGACAAAGGGCGGAAGTGGAGAAAGGATGAGGGCAGAGGTGGCTGCATCCAAGTTAAAAAGAAGGAAGGCAGATGGTACTGAAGAACGGCCTCTTCCCATGCACACTGTGTTGCAAGTGGAACAAAGGGCAAAAATGAGGCTGGGAGGGGCCGCCAAGGCTTAACGTCTACATCATCAAGCTGGAAAACTGGAGATACTATTTTCTTTCTTCCAATCTCCTTAAGCAAAGTCTACTTAGTTTTGGTTGAGAAGAGTCAGCTTGGCCTTTAATATGTGTAGCTTCTCCCTCTTTTATCATCTGTGAAACTACCTTGGGACCCATGTCATAAAAATGGTTTTTCAAATGATACCAATACTCCATTCTTCTGGAGAAAATTATTAACCCACAATCGTCTATAACCACCCATTACTTCATTTTCCTGAAACTTCACATATTAAAGCAAGATGAGGCCACAGAGGTATGGGGAGCAGAGATGGCCAGAATGATGGTTCTTGGCAAACCAACCTGCAGGCATCCCCTGATGTGGATACAGGAGATATGGGGGGGCATTTTTCAGAGGGGGGAGAAGGACAATCCAGGTCACTGTCCTTCTCCACTGAGCAGAGGGGTGCCCGCAGGACCTTGTTCTTCCATTTTGCAGATGCGCTGTCCTCAAAGACATCGTCGTCTCCCATTTCATCGGAGCAGAAGCCCATGCTCCCTGCCAGCCCGCTGGAGGACTTGGCGGTGTGCAGGGGCGCGGCACAGCCCTCCAGCTCATGGAACCTGTGCAGGCTGCTGGCGCTCGAGCCGTGCGAGAGCGAGAACAGGTACCGGAGCAGTCGCCGGCTCCTGGACACAGCTTCAGCATCCGCTCTCTCTTCCAAAAGAGGGACGTGGATGCCCCCCTTGCCAGCTTCCACCTCTGAGGCAACTGAACGGTTGGCAGAAAGGGATGAAACGCAAGAATGTTTGGAACTGCCAAGAGGTTTGTGATGCTGCGCTTTTTTCTCCTTCTGATGGAACCTGTTAATCCTGAGACCTGGATCTTGAGGGAGTATCAATTTCCCTTCGGAGCGAGTTCTTTCCACATAGTCAAAACTTTCCGAAGTGTTCTGGGTTTTCTCACCCACATCGTTTAGGGATTTTGAGAACTTTAGTATTCTTCTGGCTTTGGTATTGTCAGCAGGCTTCAAGGCCTGGGTCCATTCTGAACCACAGGAATTTCTCTTTGACAATGTGTCTTTACAGATAACTGTCACAGTGAGCCCTTGTGTCAGAGAACTCTGGCATTGAGGAGCTTTCAAGACAACGGCAGACTGCACGGGACTTTGGTGACAACACTCAGAACACACTGCACTGGAACTGCATGCAGAGAACAGTGGAATAAAAGCACAGAAAGTAAAAAACAATCTTAAAAGAGAATAGACATCAAAGTGAAGAAATGAGACTCATGTGGTAACTTGGTGAGCAAACAGCACATAAAATTGGGCCAGCTGTTTAGAGCAAAGGCATTCTGACCAAGCAAATGGAAAATCGAGAACCTACAGGCACTAATGCTTATTTCTGGGATGTCACGTGAACCACGGCAACATCTGAAGCAGAGCGTTACCTGCAGATGTCCTGATTGGATGGCGTGACAGAAGTGCGAGAGAAGGCGGACACTGGAGCCGACGCCAACGAAGAACCCCCAGCCTGCAACGACACACCTCCAGTCAGTTTCAGAGGAAAGAGTAAAGGGGACAGTGAACACCATCCCCTTCTGAACGGCAATGGACGGAGAATCTAAGAACATCTGCCCTTCCTACTGTTCGGTGAATAACATCCATTAGGTCCCTATGAGTTGGGACCAAACAAATCAAACAGCACTCTTTCCCTTTATGTGGGTCAAAGTGTAGCCAAGAAATATTTAAGACTTCAGAGCAGTAATACCGATCTCCTGCAGATTCAGTGGTCCTTTATTTCCTGAGCATCTAAATTTAATTAGTTCATACATAAATCAAGAAACCAAGTACTAGACAGAGGGGCTCCTGGCTGGCTCAGCAGGTAGAGCATGTGACTCTTGATCTCAGGGTTGTGAGTTCAAGCCCCAGGCTGGGCATGAGGTGGGGGGAGAGGGGGAAGGGAGACGGAAGGGAAGGAGGGAGGGAGGGAGGGAGGAACCAAGTACTAGATGGTATATGCAAATGCAAAAGAAATGTGAGGTGCCGACAATGCCAGTGCTCACCTTTCCCACCTGGCACTCTTTATTTAACCTGGTTCTGGGGATGAGCCTAATCAAGGGTAGCAGGCTGTGAGTGCTCTCTACTACTCACCTCACACTGGGTCCATGAAACCTTGCTACCCTATCAGAGCTCTTTACACAAAAAAGAGACTAGCTAACCACAGAGCCACCAATCCATAGCTCAACCCAGGACCCAGAAGGGGGCTGAGCAGAGAAGGCTCCCAAGAGTCCTAGTCATGGGATTGGGAATTAAGAAAAATAAGAAAACTTAAATTTGAAAGAACGTATACCACAAAGTCATGGCATAGACCAGGAGTACTGAGGGGCTGTGAATAACCCAAAATGAGACAAGAGCTCTAGGAAGGTGAGAAAGCACCATAAGAAGAGAAGTGGAAGGAGAGGAACAAGAATATAAGGGTGTACCTGAGCTGAGGAAGCAGAGCCACTGCTAAAGGGTCCCCCAGCCTCCTACAACCTCTGTGTGGTCCTTGCCTTCTCTAGACTGCCAATTCCTGCGTTCCTACAGCCCTCAGAGCACCATACATATTCACATAAATGTGTTCCTCCCTCCTCAGACAGTCAGCCTGAGTGAGCATGTGCCCCACACAACACAACCCAAACAGCCACATGAAAACAGTACTATGAGTCCATTACCAAGAGCAAGCCCACATCACCTCCCTACCTTCCCCAGGCCCCCCACGTAGCCTTCAGTACTGCTCCTTGTTTTGAAGAGCCCCACTTTGGCCCACAATTCCCCGGCTGAGGCTTAGCCTCCACTCTTGCTAAGTGCGATCTCCACAGGTGTGCTCTCATCCTGGCACTCAAGTTACAGAACCCCTGCCACGGGCCAGCCACCAAGACAGGCAGCACCACTGTCCAGAAGCTCTCCCCATCCGCCTTCTCCAGCAAATGCACCCACCCGAAGAGAACCAGGACTGGCACTCTGATTGAGGGCTTCAATGGACCACTATTCCTGCTCCCGAGCAAGAGAATTAAATGCCACTTCAAATCCAGCTCAGCCTGAAACCTGGTCCAGGAAGTTACATGATATCATACAGCATGTATATGCTAAAATCATGCAGTGTTACTCAACTAGCACATCTTCTGAGTCACCAAAGTATCCACATGTTCTAACTAAACGTGGAAAATATTCAGCGTCCTGGGAAGAGATGGGTCTCAGACAGGAAGCTGAAATCAAGGGAAAATGGCCTCTCATTCCTGCTCTGAATTCAAGTGACCCATGTCCAAAAGGGAAGTCTGGGTGGTGATTGCATCATTACACACCCGCAACGGGGAAGTGCTTGGAGGCAGGGGCGAAGAGCCTCAGAGGAGAACAAGGCCTGCACCAAGTAGGCAGCCAGACAGTCCGCACACACAACAGGACCTGGGATCACTTCCCCACGAATTTCGTGTCTCAGGTGGACTCCTGGGAATGCACACAGTCACGTCTGTACTTAGAGCAGAGCGTCACACCTGTGAGATGGTGACAAGGTCCCAAGACCCTTGTCTGCTTATCTGGGAAACAGGAACAGGCTCAGCATCCTCTGTCTGGGCCCCTGTCCTCATTTCATTCTCTCCAATGCCACAAAAAATATCATGAGACACTTTTCAGCAAGCTGATAAATGTCCAAGCCTCAACAAGCCTCCCAAGTACAGAGAAAATTTTTCTCTTATTAGATCATGATTTTCAAGGAAATTTTAACTATCTACTTACTGCTGTTTTATATGAATACAAACCAACAAATGCCTTATGCCAGCTGAATGAGAAAACTAGCAAGATTCATGGGGCCATGAGAGCTTCCATAAGAGGTTCCGGCTGTTATCAGCTGAAGAGGAGCACCTGTTGAAGCTCAGGACCAGTCCTAGTGTAAAACAATCACCAAAGCATAGCATCAACAACTTTACAGAGCTTAACTCGTAGCTGGTATCCAGCTGAATAAAACATCTATCAACCTACCAACGAGGATTTCAAAGGCTGGACTGATTGTCAACAGCAAGGACAAAAGGAAGCCTACAAATACAGTTCAAATACAGTGCCAGGGTCCAACCGGGGGAGTCAAGGTAAGTCAAGGGGCTGGCAGTCCCCTGGACAGCTCTTTCACTCTTCCCGAGGCAGCAGGCTGGTGGCATGGGGGAGGTTATGGGGCAACAGCACTCACCTTAAGGGAAAAGGAGAACACCCTTTCTCCTCCACAAGATCAGACCACACAGGACTGCTGTTGATGAAAGTATGTGTAAATGTTCATAATGAGAAAATTACGTGTCAACAAAATGAAAGCCACGTGCTCCTGGAGCTCTCTGTCGGTCCTCAAACAAGAGACTTTGTGGTCATGGAAAGGAGTGTAAAACAGCTTCCTGCAGTGATGACCTGCCCCGGAGAACAGGCCCCTCGGCGAAGGGCCTCCTGCATCTGCCCTCAGAAGACAAGAGGAAGCACAAGAAGTGCCTGGTGCAGAGCCCCAGCTCCTACTTCCTGGACGTGAGGTGCCCAGGGTGCTACAAAATCACCATGTGTTCAGACACGTGCAAAGTGGTGTTGTGTGTGGGTTGCTCCACCGTCCTGTGCCAGCCCACAGAGGATCAGCAAGGCTCACAGAAGGACACTCCTTCAGACGGAAGCAGCACTGAAAGCACCCTGAATCAACATGAATGGGAAACTATCCCAATAAACAGATTTTGGAGAAAGAAAAGAAAAAAAATGTAAAGCAATCTCACCACAAAAAAAATTTCATAAAAACCCCTCTTCTTAAGATGTCATAATCAACTACACAAAATGAACCTCTGGATTACATAGAGATTCCATTCCCAGTTGATTTTATTTCTTAGGAATGACAATTTTAGACAATTTGTTTTGCACTACTCAAGTCACTCAGCGGCTGCCCTTCCCTATCATATAACTCACTGTTTTAAATGATTTCATCAAGGCTGTCAGAAACAACCAAAAGAAAACTTCCCATGTAGCCTCGGTAGAAGCTGGCACTTCATTCTCCCTGTTTCTTTTTGCTAGAACTTACTGCCATTCAAAGGGCAGACTCGGCGAGTACACTTCTCAGTCCATGGCAGGAACTTAACAATTTTACATCAGAGGGACTTTCCCTCTGAAAGACACCAGCCATACCTTTCCCGGCTCTCCTGCTTCACTTCCCTCCCTCGCTCCTTCCACTAGGTTGCTTCCCAACCCCCTTCTCTGCCACCTCCTCTTTCTTCTCTGCTGCAAACTTCCACTGGGCCTTCTTTTATCAGCAAAGCTTCTTTTAAACATCTGAGGTCTCAGGCTCCTAACAAAAGTAAATTCACTCTCTGATTTACATCAACAGGTACAAGGCCACAAGAAATGGTCTGGTTGGGTTCATTTGCTTTTTTTTTTTTTTTTTTAAGTTTATTTATTTATATTTTGAGAGAGTGGAAGAAGGGCAAAGGGAGAGGGGCAGAGAGAGGGAGAGAGAGACAGAGAGACGGAGAGAGAGAGGGAGACAGGGAGAGAATCCTGAGCGGGGGAGAGGGGTAGAGAGAATCTGCTGTCAGCACACAGCCCGACTCAGGACTCCATCCCACAAATCATGAAACCATGACCTAAGCCAAGATCAAGAGTCAGCCACTTAACTGACCGAGCCACCCAGAAGCTTCTAGGTTCATTTGATTTTAAGCCAGGAGCAATTTGAAGAAAGACTGGGTAAAGGAGGGTAAGAGACAAGTAAGGCCCCTATTTACAATTGACCTCAAACTTAACAGAAAAAATTGGGAAAGTACAGACGGCTCTTAAAACATAAAAAGATGCTTACCTTACCCTCTCTTACAGTGAGAAATACAAATTAAAACTATAACAAAATGTACTATCAACAACAAAAGTCTGTTTTTTAAATCACAGAATACCTGTGTTGGCAAAAGTGCGGGAGAACAGCCATGCTTATACACCGCCGGTGGGAAAGCAAACGGCTAAACTTCACAAGATAGCAATGTGGCAATTAGATTCTAAATTACAAATGCACGTTCACTTGGGCCCAGCAATTCTCCTTTCAGGAATCCATCCTCACACATATATACAGAGAGGTTTGCTCAGCATTGTTTGTGGGAACAGTCGCCTGCCATAACCTCAGTGCCCCTGGGCTTGGAGCGGAGTCCATACTGGGCACAAGGAGGGAATGGGCAGAGGGGAGGGCCATGCTTTGTGTGTGGGCCTGTGCAGACTATTTATCAGGGGAAGGGTGCACACTTCAAGGCTCCTAACAGTGGTTTGCTCTGACATGTGGAAGGAGACCAGGGACCCTGGGCAGGAGAAACAAGTACTTCAATGGAGACCCTTCCCAACCATGACACCACTTTTACCATCAGTAGGTATTTCCTAACTACAAATTGATTTTTAAAAAATAACATGTGATTAAAAGTTTAAGAAGTAAAATAAAACTACAGAAGCACAACCAACTGTATCGATTTCCAACTCTGGGAAAACCAGTAAAGAAACTGGTCTAGT